TCTTTCCCTCAAGGGCTATTATTATCAACCAAATTAACAAATTGGAAGAGCAAATAAAAAAAATAAACAACCAACCAACCAACCGCAAAACCAAAACACAAACCACCACTTGCTTAAGCAAGAACGTGGCAAACCCTGCAACGCGGCGAGGTTTCAGTAGCGCAAGGCTGTCAGCATGGAGTTAGTGCCAACAGCTCTCCAGGACAGATGATGACGCTGCTCGTCAAAAGCAGCAGCATGGACCTGAACCTCCTCCAAAGGAATTTTGGGTTGCATTTCAGCTTGCAACAGAGCAAATTGCTTTTCTGTTCAAAGCACGTTCTTCCCTGGTGTCACTTCAAGAGTGGCCAGTCACACCAACAATGAATTTTTATGAATGACTTCTGTGCTGTCAATCATAAAACACTAAAACCAGAAATCCAAGGCAGGAACATAATGGAATAATAACAATAGTAAAATTTATAATAGTAATAAAAATGACCAAGTGCTGCAACATTCACCATACAGATATTGGACTGCGAATACTTAGCGTTCCAGAAACCATTTGCTTTTTTTCAGACCAGATCAATTTCTTGAACATATTTATTGTAAGGCTTCACTGGAAGTTGCACAGCAAATATACCAAGGTTTTCCTCAACCTGATAATTGTTTTGTTTCTTAATTACCACAAACTGTAATATCTAACTGCCAGTAGCAAGTCACTAACCTGGTAATAGTCAGCAATAAAATTTTGAGTACTAGACCAAGACTGCCTCTTTTCTGGATCCTCAGCCCAGATAAACAAAACCCACCTTTGTTTTCTGACATTAGGCTGTAGGAAATTGTCCTGGTTTTGGCTGGGACAGCGTTAATTTTCTTTACAGCAGCTGGCACAGCGCTGTGGTTTGGATTTAGGATGAGAAGAATGTTGCTAACACCCTGATGGTTCAGTTGTTGCTGAGCAGGGCTTGCACCAGCCAAGGGCTTCTCAGCTTCCCCTGCTCTGCCGGGTGCACAGGGAGCTGGGAGGGGGCACAGCCGGGACAGCTGACCCCCACTGGCCAAAGGGATATCCCACACCATATGACATCGTGCTCAGTGTATAAAGCTGGGGGAAGAAGAAGGAAGGGGGGACATTCAGAGTGATGGCGTCTGTCTTTCCAAGTCACCGTTATGCGTGATGGAGCCCTGCTTTCCTGGAGATGGCTGAGCACCTGCCTGCC